GGGGCAGAGAGAGAGGGAGACACAGAATCTGAAGCCAACTCCAGGCTCTGAGCCGTTAGTACAGAGCCAGACGTGGGGCTCAAACCCATGAACCACGAGATCATGACCTGAGCTGAAGTTGGACACTTAACTCAGCCACACAGGCGCCCCTGAAGTCTTAATTGTATTGCTTCCATGATCCAAGCTCTGTTCCTCACAAGGTAAGATCCAGGAGTTGAGGAATCAATCTTGACAATCTGCTTTCAGTACTTCTCCACCCAGAACTTGGCAAAATTGAAGGTCACCCTGAACTTGACAAAAACTGTTAACGCTACATTTTCCTCAGGGGTGCCTAGGTGGCTTAGGTGTTAAGCATCCGCCTCGGCTCAGGTCATGATCTCACAGTTCATGAGTGCCAGTCCCCCATCGGGTGAGCTCAAGCCTACTTCAGGTGAGCAGGAGCCTCGCTTCCAGTAAAACATGAGCCCGCATTAGCCCCGCTTCTCTCTCTCTCTCTGCCCCTCGCTCACTTGCACTCTCCCCCAAAAAATAAAGACATTTTCTTCAAGTCCAGTTCTAGAGTAAGGTAGGAGAATCAGTCCTTCCCTTATTCCTAAATTTATGTTTTTGTTGTTAAGTTTGAGAACAAGCAGGAGGGGGAGGAACTGAGAGAAAGGGAGTGAGGAGAAAGAATCCCATGCAGGCTTCTCGCTGTGTGGCTCCTGACTCAGGGCTCCATCTCCAGAACCATGAGATCATGAACCAAGCCAAAACCAAGAGTGGGATGCTTAAAGGACTAAGCCACCCAGGCGCCCCCGTAAGTTGATGATCTGAATATCCCTGGCATAACAGGCTTTTCAAAATCTGAAAGCACTTAGGAAGTAAAATGAAGAGAAGTAAAACATCTATAATGGGACTCATGAAAATAATCAAATCTTGGCCTTACTCTCCTGTGTTTATTTCAAAGGCTTCATTTAAAAAACCAAGAACAGAATGACAGTAGCACCTATTTGAATTCTAGGTGGGAAAGAGGATCTATGGAGAGGAAACCTAAAAACAAAGCTGAGTAAAGAATCCTTGAAGTGAGGTGTAATGCAACTTCATCACTTTATTCAAATCTTCAAAATAGTCTTTATTCTACATTTTTAGTATAAAAAATCCACAAGTTAAGTGCACCACAGTGTAGAGAGAGACATACAACGCTGAACTTCCATAACAGTCAATGGTACAGTCAAACATCACATGTACAGAACACAAAATTTAGATGAACTGAAATTATAAGATAAAATAAAATAAAATCCAATTTCAGAAAACAAAATCAAAATATTAAGGATCCCTGAAATATTCTTAACCCTAATGAGATTTCACTGGACTCAAGTCATTTTGTAGTGAGGGATTCATAACATGACCCCACTGACCCAGCCTAGGAGTTCTTGGGAGCTATGAGTGCCTATGTCCGATACTCTGACAATACATGGTGACCAATTTTTGGATGGGAAAACATCCCTTAATTTGGCTCTTAACGTAATCAGGCTTTTGAAATGCACCCCCGTCCCTGCCCCCACATTTTAAACAAACTTGTTTACAGTACAATTTGCATCGATACCCTTTGTTCAAATAGAGCTCTCAGTTTTGCTGGCACCAAAGCAAATTTGGGTTTGGTTCACGGATGAAGAGAAAGCCTATGAGGAGGGTCCGAGGGGCACCCTCCACTGTTGCCTGAGGAGATGCAAAAAAAAAAAAAAAAAAAAACAGAAGTAATGGGGTACGTGCTTGGGGTACAGAAGGGGTTTCAGAGGNTCTCAGTTTTGCTGGCACCAAAGCAAATTTGGGTTTGGTTCACGGATGAAGAGAAAGCCTATGAGGAGGGTCCGAGGGGCACCCTCCACTGTTGCCAAAAAAAAAAAAAAAAAAAAAAAAAAAAAACCCAGAAGTAATGGGGTACGTGCTTGGGGTACAGAAGGGGTTTCAGAGGATCCTTGTGAAAGACTAGTTAAAAGATGGCAAGTGGGGAGAAGTGCAAGGAGAGAAGGAAGTTAGTTTGACTGGCTTTCTGTCCTGCACCATTGATTCAATGGAGATTGGTGGGAAGGAACTGGAAGACTAGGGTTGAGGCTGGGACATGGGGCAAAGGATGGAAAGGGAAAGGCAGACAACTAATGCGTTTCATTTGTAACAAGTAATAGAAATCAAAGACTTAAAGGAGATTAAAGACCAATCAGAGTAATTTGGCAACTTTAATTCTTAGGAAGATCAAAGTTCCCTCCAAACCTAATTTGATGTTTTATTACTAAGAGCAAAGACCAGTATGGTACAGTATTACTCCAGAGGAAGTCAAGGAAGATCCTTAGGGCTGCTTCACCCACATTCATTTTATGAATGGATGCCTCCCCTACCTCAAAATGCTTTAAGGAGGTACTGCTACCATTACTTGGTTCCTTATTAAGTTTGAAAAGTGCCTGAAAGTTTGGGCACCAGAAAGACACCCCAACAACATGTGTCTAAACTGCAACTTCAGGTTAATATGACTAAAGCAGTTACATTGTGAGAAGTGCTGAAGGTATGTGATGTCTTTCTCGGCACAGAGGTGGCCTCCGTTCTTCACCAGATGGTGTAGCCACCATCTGAGCCACCCATGAAGAAGTTTCCCTTCCGCTGAGTTACGAGGACATTGGCTCCTTGCATGACTGCAAGCTGAGCAGCATTGGGAGGGCATCCAGGGGGTGGTGGCTGAAAGGAAAAGACAAAGGTTGATTGGGCACAGGGCAGCGGAGGCGAGGGAAGTGAACATGGGTGAAAACAGGATCCGTTAGGAAAATGCCAACATGCTGACCAATCACATCTTAAAGCTAGTTCTGCCACCAATTTGGGTTGTAAAGCAGGTCTGTAGTCACTGTGAATCCAAAGATACAAACAGGAAAGAGAGCCTACCACTCATCCAAAGGCATTCCCACCTCATTTCCAGGATATGGCTGGGAGTGGCTGGCCCTAGCAAGAGCCATGTGGGTTCTAATTCTTATATGAGGGGGAGCTAAGCAGGAAACCTAACTAAAATCTCTAGTATCCTTCTAAATGCTACTTAATAGGGATTATGCTTTCTCGATTTTCCATCATCATGCTCCTTGATGGAATGCCACGGGGATGGCAAACTCGATCAATGCTTATGGAATGAATAAGGAGTATTATTAGAGGAGTATCAGAATGGAACTGAAAAGGCAGCGGGCAGGACTCCTAAAACAGGAAAACCAAGGAACCCAGTTAACTCAGACCCCAGGGAATGTGCCAGATGCTACTGAATTGCCACAGTTCTCCTGCGCCCTCAACTGCTTTCTGCCTGACTCCTGGGCATCAGTGCTCACGCCAGTACCACAGCTACTGCCCAGGCATGGTGAAAGGATGAATGTGTAATCTTTTCAGCAAGTTCAAATACGCAAGAGCAGAGTTTTTCTGATAAGGCCATACTCACGGGAATGTTGCCAGCAGTAGCCCCAGCTCCAAATCTGGCACCTGCGTCGTACCCTCCTTCCACCAGCACTGCTGAACCAGGTGGGTAGATGGGACCAACTGGGTAATATGCCATAGGGATTGTGGAACCTAATGGTCCAACAGCCACAGACTGGGCCATGGGAAGATACAGGGAGGCGCCAGGAAATGCAGCCGACATGGTGGGGACTGTGGCAGCCCCTGGGTGCACGAAGCTCGGACGATAGAGCTGCAAGAGGCAGAGAAGGCAATGTGTTGCTTCATGACATTCCAATCTGAGATCTCTTAATTCTCCTTATGCAGACTATGCTCTGAGTTACACGAACTGCCTTTCCACTGCCACTCAATAGTCTCCTGGATCACTTCCTGCTATAGCTAATGTTAGGCTCAAGGAGCGCACACTCATCTTCTTAACCTCAGCCTGTGCCAAAAGGCATAATCAGATAGTGCATTCCCAACCCCAACAGAAATTGCTGAAGTACACGGTGTTTTGAATTATTCATGGGAGCACTCCCTCCTGTTTGTGGAGAGTAAATAACTATGGGGAGCTCAGGACTGAAAATGTGATCCAAGAGTATTCAGTTCAAGTCGAGAAAACCGGAAGCACCTCTGAGTAGGCAGGTGGGGCATCAGTGTAGGGTGGAGCCTGAGGAAGATGCAAGGTCTGAGGGTACACTGGATTCCCAGGAGGCTGCACAGGGTAGGTTGGCTGCGTCGGATATTGACCTGAAAGACAAGGGGGGGAGGGGAGAAATGCATGTTGCCTATCATTCTGAGCCACCAAACTGGGGCAGAGCATACTGGGTAGTTACCTAGCCGAAACCAGCAGGAGATGTGTACGCTGACTGCTCTGGAGGGCCTGATTTCTGGAACCAAGAAAATAAGCATTCTCTTTGCACTCTTTTCCTGGCCTATACCCGAGGATACTGGATTCTAACTCGACAGGAAAGGCGCTCTTCCCGTTAGCACACTGGTGTAAGGGAAAGTCTCGTCGGGCCCGTTTCTTCCACAATGCAGGGCAAGTCTGGGCACCCGTTCCTGACAATGTACCAACGGGACACCCTGCCTCTGCTCTCGGTGGTCTCCAAAGGCCTGGTTGTTACTAGCCAAGACCTCGTTGAGTCACGGTGGTTAACGATTATTTACCCCATCGATTCCTACTCAAGGTCGACTTCCAAGTAAAATGAGTGGTGAAAGTGAACCTTCAGGCCCGAGGGAAGGTAAATGTCCTGAGGAACAAATGAGGTTCGTATTCTGCCAGACACTCGTGCAATCACAGGAACCGGCAGAAGTCCGGGCCGCCATCGGAGAGAAGGGGGAAAAGACCCTTCTGGGCCCCCCTGGCCCGCCCACCAGCGCCGGCACCTCACTAGTTAAGCCCGGGCGCCAGCCTCTGGTTCCGGAGCGCGGCGCCCCGCCTCCGCTGGCTCTCCATTGGCCTGCCCAAATCCCTGCTCTAGCTCCCCATTTGCTCCTGCACATGTCTATCATGACAAGCCTTTTCTCCCCCCCACCCCCACCCCTCCACCCGAGCCCGCAGCTCCAAACTGCGCCACAGAGTTTAAGGGGGAAAGGGCCGGGAAAGAGCGAGCAGCCGTAGTGCGGAGATGACGAAGGCGTCTGGCGCAACCCCTGGAACTACAGCTGGCCCCGGACCGAGGCGCAGCTCGCCCCAAGCTTGGCGTTTGGCGACCCTGGACTCCGAGCCCGCTCGCTCCAGGCTAGCGCTATTCCCCGCGACGGCCCCAGCCGCCCCCTGTCCTTGCCTTTGCTGTTCATGGTGGCTGCTGGTCCGGTTCGGCTCGGCGTCGCGGACGGTTATTTTTTTCGTCCTCTTCCTGTTCGTAGTCACTTCCGTGTCACGTGACGATTCGTCCGCCTAGCGTCACTCGACGCCCGAGTGCCGCTGCCGCCGGAAGCCCCGCCCTTTTGCTCGGCCTCCAGTAGCTAGAGGCAGGGCTCGCGGGGTCCCGCCCATCCGCGCGCGTCGACTCCGCCCCTTGGGTCCTGTCTCTCAACCCCCACCCGCGTCCCACGACGCGAAGGAAACCAAATACAGGTAGTGTGCAAACCAGGGTTGTTTTTCTTTGTGTTTTTTTTTTTTTTTCTCTCTCGGGCGCTCGGAGGCAGAACCATTAAACTCTTCCCCGGAACTTTTTTACACCTACGCGCAGCCACTCAAGGTCACCTCACCTTAACAGCCTTTCCTCAAGAGGCGTAGAGTGCTACTTATTTCTCTACCGGCCTGAAATACGTTCCCCAAACCTTGGCCTATCGCGCAGTTTCCCTCTTACGAAGCCCAGTTTAAGCCTCAGCTAAGTCAGGATTTATTTTGCCAGACCAGCCGTCATCTGTCCTTTTCTGAGGTAGAGCTTCAGTACGATCTTCGCTGTCTTGTCTGTACCACAGACCGGCTGTCAGTATTCACTCCCGTGACCTGTCTTTGTTACCAAAAAGCATGTTTTGCCGTGTGTCCACAGCGGCTGGCACTAAAACGGGCACGCTCGCCGTCCCTAGAGAGTGCTTGTGGCCCTGCCTTCCTTTGGCACTTGGTACAGGTGACCTGTGAGGTGACTTGTTTATGTTTTCTCTAAAATGGTGTTTCACCTCTAACCTAATTTCCCTTATAGGCAGAGATGCCATCCTCCGGGACAGCAATTAAGGTTTCCCTTCCATCCATCATTTTAAAATATGCCAACAATGTGCAGGTACAGAGATGGAACTGAGCACGACATTTTTGACGTTCAGATTAATACTAGTATTGAAAAGCCTGCATTTGCTCTTTTCCTGTATGTCTGACTCTAATCTTGAAGGCAGCATAGTGTTAGACATTCACTCATTCAGCCTCTCTGTGAAACGCTTACAAATGCCAGGCACTGTGCTAAAACAGAACAAAGCCCAGGCGCTCTTGAAGCTCACCTTCCAGTTCAGGGGCTTGCAAACTTTTTTGTCCACAAATCCACAACAGCGTGCTTTAAATCAGGACTCAGCACACACACACACACACACACACACACACACACACACATTTACAACAAAATCTTTTGACCTAGTACTTTTCCTTCTATGTACACTGCACTGTAGTCTTTTATATTCTATTTATTTTTTTCAGACCTGGTTGCGATTTCCCATCCCACAAACAAGTCAGGACCCACAGTTTGGAATGCGCTGTTTTTTAGTAGACTTTTAGCTCCAGAGCCTCGCACCTATTTTTAGCATGATGATTGCAGTCAGTAATTGGGAAGTAAAGGAGTGAATAAATCCTTGAAGGTCAGATCAAACCTTCCCTGTGTCCTAACTTTTCCAAATCAGATCCTAAATTGATTCCACCCCAGAGCGTGAAACTGGAGAAGTCACTAATGGATCCCAACCTCTACCCCATGCTCAAGGCATCAGAAAATAACTGAACCTAGGAAAGGAAACTTCCCTTAATTCTCTCTGTGGGCTCACAGAGACCCTGAGTGTGTGGACTATAGCAGTCTGTGTCAATCAGAGTATAAGAAGTGGTCCCTAAATCAAGACATGAGTTCTGTTCTCACTCTGTCACCAACTGACTTTAGTCCTCTTCTACTCAGATCCCACTTATTCTCTATGACTTATTTGTTTATTTTTAATTTGTTGTAAGTTTATGTATTTTGAGAAAGACAGAGATAGTGTGAGTGGAGGGAGGGGCAGAAAGAGAGAAAGAGAGACAGAATCCCAAGCAGGCTCCATGTGTCAGTGCAGAGCCTGACTCAGGGCTCGAACTCACAAAACCAGAGATCTTGACCTGAGCAGAAACCAAGAGATGGACACTTAACCGACTGAGCCATCCAAGCGCCCTTCCCTGCTATTTATTAATAAGGTGACCTTACAAGTTGAAGGCCCTTAGCAGACTGAGGAAAGCTGCAGGTCAGGAAACTGTATTTCAGAGAGGTTAAGTAGTTGAACTGAGTTACACAGCTGCTAAGCCAGTAATCCAACTCAAGGTTTGTGTGACTTTGCGAGTGTTGTTTTTAATTTATTTACATTGTTTAATATGTTAATGCTGTTTTAAAATCTCTTGCCTCCCAAGGGTCTCTGTTTCATCTGCCAGAAAGGTCACACAATCCTTGTGTCACCTCCAGCTCCAGACTCTGTTTAGCAAAGGAAATGAACAAAGGGAAGCCTGAGAAGACAGAGGGAGAGTGGACAGAACTGATAATCAGGTTGTACATTTTGGTCAGGCCCTACCAGGTGTTAAACACTCAAATACTGGGGCGCCTGGGTGGCTCAGTCAGTGAAACGTCTGACTCTTGATCTCAGCTCAGGTCTCAATCTCAGGGTCGTGAGTTCAAGCCCCATGTCAGGCTGTGCGCTGGGCATGAAGCCCACTTTAAAAAGAAAGAAAGAAAAGAGAGTCGGGTGCCTGGGTGGCTCAGTTGGTTGAGCATCCGACATCGGCTCAGGTCATGATCTCACGGTTCATGGGTTTGAGCCCCACGTTGGGTTCTGTGCTGACAGCTCAGAGCCTGGCACCTGCTTTGGATTCTGTGTCTCCCCCTCTCTGTGACCCTCCCTGACTTGTCCTCTATCTCTCAAAAATAAATAAACATTTAAAAAAAACTAAAAAACAAAAACAAAACACCAAATACTTCTAGTGAATGGTAAATAGCCACTGTTCCAAGCTGTCTCCCCAGGCACACCTGTCTGCTCTGACCCTCCACTGGAATCCATCTCCTGCCCAGGATCTCTCCATGGTCCAGTGATTAAAAGGTAAACTGTGACACCCGGGAAGCCTCCGGGACTTACCTCCAGCCAAGGCAAACTGCCTTCAGATTGGTCATTGCTGCCTGTACAGGGTGTTAGGTGTTTTGCTGGCTACTCCGGGACCTGGGCACAGAGCAAGCTAGGGCAGAGCCAAATGAGATTACCCAGAGAGGGGGTGCCTGGGTGGCTGAGTCGCTTAAGAGAGTACCAAGAGAAATGGAAGGGTACAAGCCACAGCTCTCTGGCAGGTGGGCTTAAGGAACAACTGGCTACTTTCTTGGAGAGGAGTCCAGAGCCTTTCTGTTTTCTTAATTCTCCAGGGTCCCCCCAACTAAGATGAAATGTTAATCCTGTCATTTATCAAACATCCTTTCTTGAATTAATTTAACAACTATTTATTGAGCACCTACTATGTGCCAGGCCCTGTGATAGGCACTAGGGAAACAGTAGTGAAGAAGCAGGCTCAGTCCCCACCTTCCCAGAACTTAGTCTGCCTAATGGGAGTGACAGAAGTCAACAGATAATCACGATGTAGCGTGACTGGCACTGACTTAAGGACAGAATGGGGTGGGGGGTGTTAGGAGAACGCATAGATGAGGTACCTAATCTCCTCTACTTGGGTCAAGTGGGGCTTCCCGCTGGCAGAGTGATGTTTGAGAAGAAATCTGAAGGGTGAGTGGAAGTTAAGCAAGTGAAGGGAATTCCTCAAAGAAGGAAAGCTTATGCAAAGGCCTGGGAAGCGAGAGAGCGTACAGAGAGGGAGGACATGGAAACAGTTCAGTATGGCGGGAGCACGGAATGGGAGGTGAGAACTGGCTGAAGAAGTCAGCACGAGCCAGACCACACGAGGGATCCTGGAGCTCCCGGAGGACCCTAACTTAAGACACTGGATTCTACCTGGGGGCGCCAGTTAGCCACTGAAGAGCTTTAAGAGACAAGTGACGTGATCCTGTTTTTATTTTAGAAATTGCTTTCTGGCTACAAAATGTAGACTAGAGTAGACAGGGACAAAAGTGGAAGTGTGTCTGGGAGAGCATTCAGAATACCAATGTAGTAATTTAAGTGAGTGGTGATAGCAGACTGGCCCAGGGAAATGGTGGTAGGGTAGAAAAATGTCGGGGTCAGGGAAGGGCATTCCAGAACTATTTAGGAGGCAGAAACAACCAGACTAATTAATACTCAGGATTAATGTCCAGGATTCATTAAGAGAATTAATGGGAGGGATGATAACTACATAAAGTGAAAAGACAAATGCCTGGGTGGCTCAGTCGGTTAAGCGTCCGACTTTCGCTCAGGTCATGATCTTCCGGTTCGTGGGTTTGAGCCCCGCGTCGGGCTCTGTGCTGACTGCCAGCTCAGAGCCTGGAGCCTGTTTGAGATTCTGTGTCTCCCTCTCTCTCTGACCCTCCCCAGCTCACACTGTCTCTTCTCTTTCTCTCAGAAATAAATAAAACATTAAAAATTTAAAAAAATAAAAGACAAATGACAGATTAGAGAAGAGATATCTGCAGTTTGTACAAGGGGCTAAGCGCCCTGTCCTAGAACTCACGGAGATCAGTCAGTATATGACCAGCCACTGGAAAAAGTAGCAAATGACAATTACAGACGGTTGAGAGAAAAGTAAATATAAATGACTTTTAAACATACAAGATGATGTTCAGCTTCACTCTTTTTTTTTTTTTTAATTTATTTATATTGAGACAGCGTGGGGAAGAGGGAGAGGAGGAGAGAAGGAGGATCCCAAGCAGGCTCCACGCTGTCCGCACAGAGCCTGATGTGGGCTCGAACCATAAACCGTGAGACCATGACCCGAGCTAAAAGCAAGAGTTAGATTCCTAACCGACTGAGCCACCCAGGTGCCCCTCAGCTTCACTCTATGTAATAAGAAAAAGGCAAATGAAAACCACGCAGACACCATTATCAGATTGGTAAAATCCACACATTTACTAACTTCACTCTATTTGCAGGGCTGTGAATAAGCAGACACTCTTATTTTTTGTTTTTATTTTTTAAAGTTTTTATTCTCATTTCAGCTAATTAATATACAATGTAATATTAGTTTCAGGTGTACAATATACTGATTCAAGACATCCATGCGACATCACCACCACAAGTGCACTCCTTAACCCCATCACCTGTTTCAC